GACCTCAGAGCGGCCGAGCGCATACATGCATGAGACGAGATTTTGGTTCCTGAGGCGAAACAGCGACAAGTCAATGTACCGCAGTAGCGGGGGTAGCGCTGACAAAAGGCGCTGGGTATGACAGAGGTCAAAACATATAGGTATAAAGCAGCGCGGCAAAGCAATGGCCTTAGATGGAGAATTGAAACTGCAGGGAAAGCCTGGCGCGGCGGGCCTGCAGCGCGTACTTGAGGATAAGTCTGGGGACACTGGTAACAGGCCCTGGCTGTGCGATGCGGGCGCGGCCTACTGCAGCTGGCGGGAGAGGAGCCCTGTTTGTTTCGAGCCCAAGCTTGCCGGCAAGCCTGGCGTGTGCACAGTGATCCTGGTCGCCATTCGGCCAAGCGACGAGCGACGACGTTGGGCTTAGCGTGTGCGGGTCTCTCATCGGGGATGCGCCCCTAGGACAGCGCGGGCCAGAATTATGCGGCCGCCAGGCTAGCTCGCCAGTGCATGCCTCGACGCCTGACTCCTAGCAAGGGCAAATGGGATGTCAAGGCAGCCGGGTGGGATCATCCCATCAGGGCCCTCGCACCGCTGAGCACGTCGCAGCCGGCTAATCTGACGCTTCCCGAACAAGACATGGTCTGAGTGGAAGCGCCATATTGGCTTCGCCTCGTGCGCCCAGCGAAATACATCCTGGCCGTTGCCGTACGCTCGTGGCGCGAAACAGTGGCAGCCGATTCAATGCTGCTCAGGTACGCGAGCCTGTGGCGATTCCCACGGCAGGGGCAAGACGTCAATCATCGGCTGTGCATAAAGGAGAGACAGAAAGTGTCGACGGCTGAAACGCTTTCGGAAAGCTGCAATAATCGCGCCCATGGAAAATCGAGGTTTTGCCGACCAGCCACTCAGGCTTTCGGGAGCGATAATGATTTAGCGCCCGACTGACAGCGTGCCCTCTGAGTCGCCAGCACAACTAACCCCTGCTGATTTCTCCGAGTCGACCGCTGCGCCCGTTAGCAGACCAATAAGGAAAACCGACGCCTCAAAAATTGGGCCAGACAATGCTGATCTGAATCCATCAAATTCCGAAGCAAATATGGAATAAAAACAAATGCGACATGCTGACCCCGTTCCAATAACTCCAGCGGCGCCATTACCACGAGGGTCCGCGACGGCAATGTCTTGAATGACGCCTCCTCGGCAGGGGAAGCAAAGGCCTGTTATTGATAGCTTGCGGACGGTATCGGACCGCCACCAGTCAGTCGAGCATTGGCGATTGGCAGGTACGATCCGCGCCGTAAGCTGCGTTGCCCAGTGCTAGTGTCGTCCTGATGTCGTCCGCGGTGCTACTGGAACGAGCCCTCGGCCAATCCAGGCCGCGAGATCGGCTCCAAGCCTCGCTCTCTTCGTCATCTTAATGCTGCGACCTAGTATTGGTATCGCAGTGAGACATGTTCAGCCATCCAGAAGGCCCTTCTGCTCTACTCACTATTTCCCAAGACCGGATCCATAACGCCTGTCGTATCTCGTAATCACGAGACCTTATCTAGCGCTTGACAATAGTGACTGGTCGGGTCGTCAGCTCACGACATCCATTTAGAGAGATAATACTGGGATACATACCGATATCCTCGTCGGCAAGCTCGTGAGAAAGTCCCACACGCTGGGGCTGATGCTTGCATGATTTCCCGTAAACAATAGCGTGCTTGAAGTTGTCGACAATTGTCTTGTGGATGGAATTACACTACAGAGCGGTTAGCGCGTCGCGTTTAAGATGAGGGGGAGACTTACGAAGTCTTCAATGGTACAGGCTGTTGATCGCAATACCACGGGCGCCGAGTAATCCGGCATCTTGCCCTTGGGCTTGGTGTAAACACGAACGAGATTGAGCTTCTCCCACATCTGCTCGAGGAGCTCATCGATGTTCCACCCGTGCTCGGAACTGATGGGACAAGCGTTCGGGATGCGGTATAGCAAATCGAGCTCTTCGATACTGATAGCATCAATCTTGTTCAGAGCGTAGATGACTGGGATATAGCTTCGTCCCTTGGCCTCAATAACATCGATCAAATCATCGACCGTGGCGTCGCATCGAATAGCTACGTCGGCGTTTGCCATTCGGTACTCGTTCAGCACCGCCTTGATTTCGCCATGGTCGATATGTGTGAGGGGAACGGTGGCGGTGATGTTGATGCCTCCCTTGTCCTTCTTCTTGAGCACAATGTTTGGCGGGCTCTTGTTGATTCGAATACCGAAGCCCTCCAGTTCGTTCTCGATAACGCTCTTGTCGGTGAGGGGTTTGTTGACGTCCAGAACGATGAAAATCAAATGGCAGGTCTTTGCGACGGCGATGACCTGCCGTCCACGACCTTTACCGTCCTTCGCACCTTGGATAATACCGGGAAGATCGAGAATCTGGATTTTGGCTCCGTTGTACATGACTTGACCAGGTACTGTAGTAAGCTGTATGTTGTCAGTACTGATTCTAGTACCAAGCGCATCCAACCCACCGTTGTGAACTCATATGCAGCGGCTTCGGAGTGCTGTCCGGTCAATTTGCTCATGAGCGTACTCTTGCCCACGGAGGGGAATCCAATGAAACCAACACTGGCAACACCAGTCCTAGCAACATCGAATCCTACACCTCCACCGCCGCCACCAGACGAAGGCTCGAGCAGCTCTCTCTTAAGCTTCGCGAGCTTTGCCTTCAGTTGCCCTGTTCATGTATAAGCATACCAGTATGCACTATCCGTCCATGAGGCCATACCAAGATGAAAAGACGTCGCCTTGTTCTTCTGGGTCTTGGCCATCTACGTCTCGTGTAAGTCATCGTGTTACGGTCGCGTATTGGGGTGTGGCTTACTTCGGCCTCGATGTCCTTGATCTGCACACTCTGTTAGCGCGTGGAATGGCGGTATGCTGCGGCACTCAATACTTGCCTTGTCTACTGTGGTCGCCATCTTGAATTACTGTGTATCCTGACTTGCTCTGGGCAGGCGTGGAGATGCGATGTTGTTGTTCAGAAATTTGATGCGACGCACGCCGCCAATGACGAAGCGGGGCACGGCTTCCCGGCAGTACCTTTCACCGCCACCCGATAAGGTTAGCGCTCAGCGCTGCACCCTTCCATCTCGGCTTCCATGCATGCTTCCTCGAGGCCTTCATAAAGTTCCCCGATAGAAGCCGCGTTCGGGGTCTTCACATCGGTGACCACACCCACCACTCTGGATGAGCATATGAGGTGCATCACATGTCGGCGAACTGCTGACCGCCATGGATCCACATATCACAAGCTTAGAACGCGCCAATTGTTACATAATGAAGCAAGCCCAGTCCTGCACAAGCAGCATTGAAGGCAGGCAAGCCAACGCTCTTACCCTCGACAAAGGCTGTGTATATTTAAAGCCCGCGCTCCGAACTCTCTTCGTCGGAACTCCGTCTACCAGAACATCATACTCGACGACACGCTCGCCACATTTTATATTCCTCAAACATCGATATCGTTACCATGATCGGCCGCAACACTGAAGAAGATAACTTCCACTCGCTCGTGCAAGAGATCAACAAGGTGCTCGGCCCCAGCAACGGCATAGACTCGGATGACGTAGACGAGAATGAGCTCCAGGAGTTGATGAAAGCATACACCTCGGAGGAGTCGGAATGGAAGAAATACTACTTTCCATCTGAGACATTACCATACACACGGAATGTTGTTGACAAAGGCAACGGCAAGAGTAACTTGGTACAGTCCCCGATTCTCGAGTCAGCGAAGGTGGTGCTAATCGAACAGCTTATCCTGGTATGGGGACCTGGAAAGAAGAGCCCAATTCACGAGTAAGTTCTCATATTTTGCAACAGTTGACATTAGTATGCCTCACCTCGCGAACAACAATCTATGGCCCCAGTCTCCTGCACGATGAAGCGACCCCGTTCGCCGATCTACTTTGATCGATGTGTCAGCAGGAGACACGCCGGTAAGACGACCTTTCGATAGTCCACCATCTTCAAACACCCACCGTGGACACACCTCACGCTCTCGAGTGCGCGACTCAGCGTTGAAAGATCCAGAACTAACACCAACCCAGCCACGCAAACGCACACTGCATCATGAAAGTGCTCAAAGGCAGCCTAACAGAAACCCGTTTCGCAACCCCCACCGAAGACGACGCACAAAACCAGCGGCCGATGACCAAAACCCAAGAGACTACTTTCGCTGAAAACGACGTCACATACATGGCTGACACGCTCGGTGTGCATCGTATCTCAAATCCGCACCCCACAGACTACGCAGTCTCGCTACATTGTACGTACAAACTCCTTTCATTCTACGCTTCACTCATGGGGTTGTGTGATCCTTCGACTAATGAAACACAGTGTACACCCCACCCAACGCAGCAACATACGGCTGCAACGTCTTCAAAGAAGACACATCCGGCGTCGTTCATAACACGACATGCCACTTCTACTCCGAGTACGGCGTCCGAACGGGGAGGAAGTAGGCTCTGCCTCGTTCGCAGATCCGTTCCATCATCGATAGCATTGTTTGGTTCTGGAAAAAGACTTGGAGACGGATACGTGGATACTTTACAAATGGAGCGGCGGGTTTCAGGCGCTTATCGAGTAGGAGTTCTTCGATGGGAGATTAGAATGTGATATGGGCTTTTCGTTGGACTACTATGCTAGTCATTTTTTACGTTAATTAAAGGTCATTCAACATGCAAGCTAGAGCACGTTAACCTAGGAAAAAGCTAAACAGGTTTAGAGCCTACATCGGCTTAGGCTACCTACTTTGCAGGGTTCTACGTTGATGTAGGCTGCCGACCTGTTCAGGTTTTTCCTTGTATGAGGTGGGAGAGTCAGTAGAGTCGACTAAATCACAACATCACACAGTCTCGTATACACATCAACTTGACATATCAATTGTTATATGCACAGTCCTCAGAACACGTCAAACAGAACAGCAATGTATTCCAACTCCATCTACCCAACCCTAATTTTCTCCTTCATACCCCCATCTACGGCCCCGCAAACCCAATCTCCTCCCTCTTATCATCCACCACCCTCCCATACTCCAACAGCAACCTAAAGAACCAAACCTCAAAGTCCACATTCCTCAACACGCTATCATGCCACTCAGAACTCCTCTTCGCAATAAGCCGCGCCTTCTTCTCCCCCTCACTCGCGCCATTCCCACCCTTCTTGCTTCCATCCGCCTTGACTCTCTCAACAACCCCATCGCCGTCATCGTCAAAGACCTGTGTACCACTGAACCACCGTACAAGATCGAGATGTTCGTCGCCGCGGAGGGAGAGGGGGATATAATGCACCCATGGTCGTAGCCACTCTGCGTGCCACTCGCGAAACAGCGCCATTTTGTAGGTCAGACTGCGGGACTTGAGGAAGCTGTAGAAGCGGCCGGAGAAGGCGTTGCCGTCCATGTCGAGGAGGTGCTTGTAGTACCATGCGTCTTGGCCGTCGACGCGTTCGGTCACGTCGAAGAATTCGTTTTGGGCGTCGCAGTCGCCGGGGTCGCATTGGCCGATGTGCGAGAAGTGGACGTCGATGAGGTCTTTGAGGGCTTTACGCTCGATCGAGGTTACGGCGTAGGTTGAGGTGGGGTTGGAGACGGGTTCGAGGACTTTGGCGGTATCGGGGGCGTTGAGGCGTTGGACGACGTGCTGGCGGTGTTGACGTCGCCAGCCGCCGTTGCGACTGAAACCGCCTGTTGTGGAGCCGCGCCAGTAGAGGCTGTTGGTTTTGTTCTCCCAGGTCGTGTCGTGTGTCTCATCGTAGCCTACTTTGCCCATCCAGTACCATGGACTGGGGTATAGGATGTCCTGGAAGCTGGAAATCTTCGACTGCGAGAAGACGGGTGTCAGCTCATGGATGATACTGAAGGCGTTGGGGCGCTCGAAAAATCCAAACGTTGACGAGAAAGAGGGCGAGTTGCAGATGTCGGAAAATGCAGTCGTATTGTAGATGAAGCCAAGGTCGCTGGCGGCATACGCGGTGAAGTTGTCGGCAGCGTAGTCTTCGAAGGTTTGGGCCTGAGTGCCAGGAGAACACGATAGCCGCGAATGCGTCCATGTCTGTTGATGCGCAAAGCGATTGAACTTGGTCGTGCTAACTTCGGCAAATCGTGTACCATCACTCAAGTCTTCTGGACGAGCGGAGAAGGCATTGCGAGGTGCGGTGTTCTTCGCAGTACGCGGTAGAATTTCGTCCCTCGCCTTTGCCACCATCGACGACAACAGATTGTCGGGCACAACGACTCGCGGTTCGTCGTGCAAGTTGAAGCCCAGATCCATGTCGGGCAGATACTGGACAAACTGCTTCATCATGCCAATGGTAGCCTGTTGTTGCCATTCATCGCCGCCTTGGAAGTTCTCCACGGCGCCATGGCGTATCGCAATTGCAAGCATTGAGCTGTCTTCATGACCTAACGCATTCGCAATGCGCGACCGAATCGTTGATGGTTTGAGCGCCCAGAACGGTAGCAACATCTCATTGATCGTGTCGTATTCGTCTATCATCACAACACCGTTGCGCGTCGCAAACTCGTACCATTTGTCGAAGTGCGGAGGTGGCGAGATCCCGTTCCTGCGTCGGTACTCTCGAACCGCATCAGCGAGAGACTTGGATTGTCGGTTAAGAGTGCCTTGGAAGTCTGCCTCGGCTGCGTCAATCAATTGCGCAGCCGGATGACCCTTGGTCATATCTACCGACACCGGAGCAAGTGGTATCCCAGGCGGAGAAAGTGGTATGTCGGTAAGAACACCATGCGTGATATGTTGATACGTTCGTGGTCCAGTGAAACGTCCGAAAAGTAGAGACCCCACCGCAAGAGCCATAACGATGAAGATAAAGCGACGCAGTCGCATAGAACGCCGCGAATCCATGACAATGGGAGATGCGGCCGACTCAAAAAAGTGTACAAATGCCGCGCCGTCGTAAATGAGGGTAAACAAAATGGTGGAAAAGGTCGGGGCGAAGTGTAGTTTTGCAGCAAGGTGAGAGAATATGGCCAACAGAGAGGTATTTACAGCGCCATGTTGAGAGATCTATGGGCAAATTAGCTTGATATCGTGACAGTGCGTTGAGAGTGAAAGCTACGTTTCTGGTCTTGGAACCTGAAAGCAAAAGCTGGGGTGAAAGCCATGGCGACGGGTACGACGCGGCAGGACGCCAGACCCGCGTTTGGTAACAAGACAGCGTATTTAGGTAGTTCAACAGTAATCTGGAAGAGTGTACGTACCAGAACGAAAACAAGAACATTTACAGTGGTGTGAACCGGCAACATCCACAGGAAGCGCTGCAAGATGCGGAAATTGTGCACATCCCTCCACTCCCGGTCATACTCTCTGTATACAGGTTCCCAGGATATCGTGCTTGCGGTCAAGGACGACTCGGTAAGGATAGACGCGATCCCGCATACAACTGCAATGGCCACTGCGACGTCTCTGAGCGCAGCCAGTCGCTGCGGCCTCGAGGCACCACTCACTGAGGCGCGCCGCAACGTACTCCCGTTCGCAGACCCAAGTCCTCGCTTGCCGCCCTCGCCCTCTTCTGTCGCGGCTTGTATGGTAGACTCAAACAGGACGAGGCCAGTAGCCGCGAAGATGGCACTGCTGACACCAAGCGCGACCGTGGTAGGAACTGCGTAGACGCCTAGAACAGCGCTCGCAGAGACAACGAGAACTGCTAGTATCCCATATGGTTCGGTATGAGGCTGTCGCTCCGGGGAGGTCTTGGTCTCGGCTGCAGGGCCATCGAGAACGGTCCAGGTGGGTAGGGCGAGGTGTTTTGCGACCAATTGGTTCTCGGAGAACAGGACGGTGAAGAAGGGAATAAGGGCCTAGGGCATTGTTAGGTCGTATGTCATTCTCTGTCCCGTCTGAAAGTACCTTGGTCGCCCAGATGCCCTGCTTATCGCATGCCGCGCGGTCGCATATCACAGACAGACCAAGCAGCGCGCCAGCCAGCCAGCTCGTCTTCCTCTTGGCGCTGTCGCTGTTTGAATATATGCCCACCCAGAAGACAGTCGGCACCCATACTATCAGCCAGGATATCGTCGTTATGAGCAGCGAATGCTGGACCGGTGTGTGTACGTTTGCGACAGCCGCGAGGACGGTGTAGAGCAGCGGGGCGAGCAGGTGGTGGTATTTGACGACATTATCGGCAAGTATGGAGACGGCCGGGTGCATTGGAGCAAAGGGTGGGTCAGCGCTCGTCGGAGGGCATCGAATTGTCTGGCATGTGTTGGGTTGCGATGTTGTCAGCGCCGGAGAGCCGCAACATGCAACCGTGCGGATCTGCAGGGTCGTGAGTGACGCCATGCCCGAAGCCACATCTATTTTCATCTCTACAACAACAAAGCCATTGTCTTGGGTTCTATGTTTGCATGTATCCCAATTAGACCCAGGTATGAACATCACTCCGTCAGAGACCGATTTCACATGTCTAAGATGAAATCGAACGACACCCGCTGCTTGTCGCTGGGTACTCAACATGCATGCGCATGCTGCAGGAGCACGTCTACAAGAAATATGGGGGACATGCTGCAACGGACAACTTAGCACGGACCTCACTTTACTTCCAGAAGGTTACACAATGATTTGTGCCACGGCGCAAGCTCAGACAAGCCCAGAAGCCAGGTTTACCCTAGATGGGCAATTCAGCTACCTCACTTCGTGCTGAGATCAAGAGATCTGTCGATCTTTGGAATGCCAAGACAGGTATAGTTCTCTAGCTCTCAGCCATCGGCTGCCTGTTCCCTTTATCATCTGCTATGTTCGACTCTTCGTATGAGTCTCTCATTACGTGGCTTGACTTGTATCGATACATCAAAACCAGAAGGCACGATGCCCAGTGACCCATCAAACCTGAAGATTTCACAAGTACCCACCATCTTCAATGCAAGATCGTGTATTTATGGGTATCTTCATGGCCTCGGTCTAGCGAGACTTGTCTGCGATGCTACGTACAGTCTTTCCCTGTCACATCTGGAGCCTACGTTGACGTTGGATCACCCACTTCGCATGTTTCTACATTGATGTAGGCGGCAAACCCGTTCAGTCTTCCACGGAAGCGTCGTTTCCTTTTCCGCAAAAGGCTTCGGGCAAAGCTCGCACAGCGAAGACGAAGGCGCGCGTCATCGCGTGACGACGCGTTTACGGAAGGCACCATGGCTGTACTCGCGCAAACTTCTCTCTTACATCCTCTTGCGTGAGTCTTCCTCTCAACCCGAGCCACCCTAATCTACGCTATAATACAAGCCATCAACACGAGTAGCAATGAGACTACCACCAGACGACTCGCAGTGTCATATTCTGCGCCTACCTTACGAGATCCTTACGTCTGTTCTGGCTGAGGTGAGTATCTCCTCCACGTCTGTACTACTCTGCTAACGTGTCTACCGTAGCTAAACCAGCGCGATCAGCTTAACATATCGAAAACCTGTGTGCATCTCTAGGAGTTGGCATACCCTATATCACATTCCACCAACCTACCTATATCCGCAACCCCCCCGCCTTCACTTCCCCCACTTCATTTTCTCAAATACATACACCCACCGACCGCAAAGATGGACAACGACGACAATCAATGGGAAGACGAGGGTGGTAGTGTAGCGGTATTGTAGTTGTGCTGGGTCATGTAGACGGCCGCGCCTTCCCATCTCAAACCCCCCCACCTTCCTCCCGAATTATCGTGCCACATGGCCATGCTAGCGTGAGGTGAGGTATAACGAATTTTCCAGTTGACGTCTGCATCTTCTGGTAAGCTACGTACAGCATACCTCGTAAGTGAAGCTCTTTGCCCCCACGACTGCCGCAGGAATGCCATCCTGTCTACCACGATCCTCGCCCGACGAACCCACCACTGCGCAGCTTCAAGCGATACAAAAGAGACTAGAAAGAACTTCGAGATGGCCAGAGAATCGCCAGGCGCAGGTCTTTGCATGATATGGACGTGGAGCGACACCGCACGATGTCGCATGGCGACCGCAAAGCTGAGTGACACTCCAACCCTTCACACAACCATCCCTCGACTATATACCCAGCCTGTTCTCTTGCGTCTGTTCATCCAAAGCTGTGCGTGGTAAGCTGTCTTCCTGCCCCTCGGCTTTGGTCGATCGAGCATAGTCTTCTCCTTTCTATAGTTCGACTCGTCCATCGTCCGATACTTACATACTTTTGACTGTGCAGACACTGCTAACCATATCATTAGTTTCGAATTCCGACTGGACGATATCCATCACCTATCACCCGCAATACATCTTCCCTCCCCTCGAGAAACCCCACACATACCTACACGCACACTCTTGGACAATGAATACCTATGCTATAGCTCTGCTAGTGCTCTGGGATGGCCTCTTCCTGCCTCTCATGCTGCTTCATGCGCGTCAGGTGTTTCAGTTCCTACAGCCTTGCTCTGATATACAACAACTGCTTGTTGTTCCTTGAAGAAGTTCAATGTTAACCTATTGCAGCTTCGATATTTCCGATCCTCGTTCTCATCGATAAACAAACGCGATACACCAAGACAGGATGGCATTCGACAATAACAACAACGACCGGCAGGCGGACTATCGTACATGGAAGTACTCATGCTGACATTCGTGTACGCATAGCAGCATCGCTCTATAAACAGTTCATCTTCTATGCTTCATTATACCCCTCCATTCCCCATCCGCCCAAAGCCGCAGATCATCTGTCGTCATACCTTCCCAAACCAACCCGTGGACCTCGCACCTCACACGCCAAACAAACATCACGATACCAACCAAACCCACCCCTCCACCCACACCACCCACCAACACCAAGCTAAACCCACAACAAACCACGCGTCCTCGCATCCTTCCCTCATCACGATACACGATACCCCACTTCCCAGCCTTATCCCCCCACCAACCAACAAAGTCCTCACGCGCCCCATCACAGATCGAAGATCCTCATCTCCACAACCACGCAACTTGAAACGCACTCACGTTCCCTAGACAGGAAGTTGGCGATGCTGTCGACCCGCCTCACTCAGCATATCCAACGCTGAGGGGTCTCGCTTACAACGTAGGATTTGCGATCGTCGTCGATCCACACCTGATTAGATGTGTGTTGCGGGACGGGGGACGGAAGGGGAGGTGGGTTGTTGGAGGCGTACGTCAGCTAATTTTGATGTGTATAAGGACTGGTCCGAGGAACAATGTCAACACGCTGTCATCTTGATTTCTACTTGGTTTTCGCCAAGGTGTCACGATCACGATCAGCCTTTGACGTGATGTTGTTGTTATCCCGTGGGGTAGCATGGCATGGCATAGCATAGCGGGGTATCCTACCCGTCCACTCGACCCAACCATCCAACCATTGACAGCCAACATACAAACATCACGATGATATCCCGTCGACGTAACAAATACCCATCACCACGAACTCTAACGCCTCTCCCTCTTACTTACCTCTCAGCCCGGAAGCAACCATCCCATCCAGCCATCCAGTCGGATCTCCAGCAACAACGAAGCTAGCCCAGTGTTTGGGTACTAACGCTCACCCGGCGCCCCGGATCATGGTGTGCCAAACTAAGCTATCAACTGAGGAAGGTAAAGCACGATTTTCCCCCCAACCTCCAACGGTCTTGGCCGCTTTTCCAGTCAGCTCGCAGCTCCGTCTCAGCGCTTTATCTCGGCGACCCAACGTTGGGTTGGGTTGTGAAAAAGGACCGGTTGCCCCCGCCTCTCTTTCCCGTCTCTGTGTTGTCAATTTCTTCGTCTCTCGTCAGCTTTGGGCTTTCTTATACGAACGGGGTCCTGCTCGGGAGCACTTCGATTTCCTCACTCAAAGCAAATACACTCGCACGTTGGGCACTCTTCCCTTTCGACTGAGATCTTTTATTTGGCATTTCAATCTTGATTCCTCTCATCCTCAAGGTTCGTTTCGAAAAAAAGGTTTCCTCCACAGCCGAATATACAAGAAGATGGCTGGACCATACACACATTGGAAAGACCCCTCGCCTCTCCTCGCCTCGCACCAAGGCCACGCTATCCAGCGCAGCCATGATAGCTCTCCCGTCCTCCTCGTCATCGAAAGTATTTGTAAAGTTATATGGGTTTATGTCAAAATAGGCTGAAGTTTCTTGGTGAAGAGATGAAGATTGATCAAGAAAAAAGGACAAGGAAAAGAGAAAAAAACTCCGGGATATTTGTTGCAGGTGCTAGGCTCTCGACGCAAAGGTGAGCAAAAGACGGCAGGTTCGGATGATTGACCTGTACTTTAACCTCAAGGGCGTCGTCGGGGGTGTGACGGCCCTCTCCTCGGTGTGCAGGCTGCGTCTTTTTCCTTCGCGGAGATAGATTGCTAAATGGCTGGTATTTGGTTTGTGGTACAGGGCCGGAAGTACGGTGGAAAATGGAGGCGATGGAAAGAAACATGGCAAGAGATGTCGGGACGTCGTAAGGGCGTGTCGAGCGCAGAAGGCTCCTACTCCTCCATCCGTCCGAAGATCTCGTCGTCGTCCTCGTCGATGCGGCCGCGGCTGCGCGAGTTGGAGTAACGGTAGTCCTCTTCGTCGGCGAAGTGGTCGTCGTCCATGTCGACGTCCTTGCTCTCGCTGTGGTAGCGGTAGCTGTTGCGCATACTCGACTGCTGCGCGGTGACGGTGGTGCTGCCTGACAGGGTACGGGCATTCAGGTCAAAATACTTTGCTGGTAGCGGGGGCACGGGTGGCACGTCCGGCGGGAGCGCAACGGGTCCCGTCTTGGGGGTGCCGTACGAGCAGCTCAGCAGGCCGACGGCGGCAGCGAGGTCAGCATGGTCATTGGCATCGTCATGGTAGGAGCCGGCAACCGAGGTGCCTGACGTAGTGGGGCGGTCTGACACGTTGCTCCACTGGCGATAGTGGTGGCCATTACCGTTGTCGGAAAAGACGGTGGACTGGTACGACTGGCTGTAAGCGGAGCTGTTGGCCGAGTAGCGCTTGAGGGAGCGGGTGCCAAAGTGGGAGTGAGGGTAGGATCCTACGGCATGGTCGTCGAGTTGCGGGGGCGGGGTAGTTTCAGTGGAGCTCAACTCCTCACGCAGGTCAGACGAACCCGAGGCGGGCGGGGACGAGCGGTCGCTGGTCTCGCCGTCGCTCTCCTTATTCATGGCGACGAGGACCGAGGCGGCCTCGAGCAGCTGGACCTGCTGGTGCTTGGAGATGAGCAGCTTAGATG